ATTCTTTTGTAATAGAAAAACCAAATATCACTTTTGTATGTTGCTCCGGAACTACGTCGACTTGATTTACTTATAAAGGAATACGAAGGCAGTCCTCATCGAATCCAGTCATCTTTTGTAGTTGAACTACGTCCTAGCCTAATTCCATTTGGATACGTAGGTAGTCTGAGTCAGAATCGGCTATTTCATGCTTAATCTCACATTTTTGCATCTTTTGTAATCGAACTATGTCTTTGACCGGATTCCATTTGGATATGTAGGCTGCTTGAGTTAGGCTCAGTCATCTTCATCATATTATATCATCATCATCCATGAACTATGTTCAGACCTAATTGTCGCGCCCCGTTTTCCTCGCGAGAGAGCGATCCTTGACGTGTGACAACTCTTTTAAAAGAAGGTAATTAAAAGAGGAGAGTCGCCACCTAACGATTTTTAAGGTGCGTTAGGGCACCTATTATGCAGATAACTCTGTTTTAATAGTCCGCGTCACCAAAGATCAGGTAAGGGCTCAAGTTACCTCAAAGAGAAGGTGTTAGGCACTCCTCGAGGTCCACAACTGTGGGTCCCGGCTGAACTTAAGATTATGTGGATTATGTTTAAGCTAGGTGATCAAATTAACAAAGAAAATTTAGAAGTCAAAGAACTTTATTACAACATTAGATCTTAGTGCGAGTATAGGGATACAACTATTTAGATCTAATAACAACATATAAAGAGGAGGGGGGGTCCTAAGTTTTTTAGCCTAAGGGATCACCCCGTGCAACATAAATAATACTTCGTAACTCCATCAAGATGGGGTGTTACTCATATTATTCAGCGGGCACAGACTATCATCTCTTGCTACCCGATTACTATGTTAGAGTTATTTACCTAAAAGCGCTCTAATTCAATTCTAAGTCGTACCCTACGTGTGCACTACCCGTCCCATACCTATGGTCTAAGAGGTATTGGGCCTTTACTTTGGATGATTCTAGACCTCACTTAGGCTGCTCAGAAATGTCAAAACTAGGCGATATACAAAATACATTGGACTTCACATATAGGTAGTCAAGGCTTAAGTTTGCCTCCACACTTAAGCAGTAAATACACGCAAACACATATGACATTCAAGAATCAGTAGAATCCTATAGACATACTTTCTAGGCGATCAAAGTATACAAGTAATTTCGTATGCAGGATATAGCTTATGGACAGAATCATGCGGGTATCAAAAGTTAGTTGTTGAGAGTTTTAAGTTACCAATCCTATATGTGCGATGCCTAAGTGATTTACTCAATTGGGTACAATAGAATCTGCTAGGGAAAGAGTCCCAGAATTATTCGTACGGCGTGCATGAAGCAATGTTTGAATGGTCTAGCATTAACCAATTATAACGAGCAGTTATTTCATATAGGCAGGATCTCTAATGCATAGTACTTCAGAGCTTGTTTTATTTATACTTAGTCCTATAAACAAGATTTCTAATGATCAATGTGGTACAATAGCAAATGAGGTGGTCAAAATCCTATAGGCATGATTTCTAGTGAATAACTGAAGTGAATTGCAGGAAAATTCATTTGTTCCTATTGGCAGGTTTCTAATGTGGTTGAAGGAAGTCATGCAAATTGAAGGAGTGCTCACTTAGTATGGGTTGGTATTTCTCAACCTATAGGCATGGTGTCTATAAACACGTAGTAGTAGGCATAGCATTTGAACTCATGTTTAATAGTAAACAAGTAATGTGTGTGTGTGTGTGTGCGCTCCCCCTAATATCATGATCTCTACAGTGCTCATGTAATCGAACAATATATCTAGCAAATATATTACCAAGTCCTACAGGCATGTTATCTACCCATTTTGCATGTTAGTATTAGAATCTACCCCATTCTCTTTTACTAACACCCCAATCGTTTATACAAAGATTATTATTACAGACCCAAATTAATAATAAAGTAGTAATATTATATGGCAATAGACAGGCCTATAGCAGGACCAAATAGAATAACTAAATGCCCAGCCTTATTAGGCCTTCAAAACTTCTGGCATAGCAGACTTAGGCCTTCAACAAAGAACCACACGATCACAGGTCCATAGGGGAGTTCAGACCCCTTTCAATGAGCCATAGCATCAAGTATTGCCCCACATGGAACAACTAATATAGATATACAGTACATGATAGGGAAATGGAGTATTAGGGATAGTTTTGGAGGTTGAGATAATGACTAGGACCAAGCCCTAGTGTGTCAGAGTTCACAAGGGCCTCAATTAGACCCGGAGCAAAGATCACACTATGGAGGTCGACAATAGAACCTAGATAGCCTTGGCTTTCAGTCGACTAAGAATGAGAATTCAGAATAGCATGAGTAGCAAATAAGGAGAGGGGATAGTGATAGAGGGATATAAATTAAGCACTACACCAAGTTAAGCATACAAAGAAACTAAGCAGGCTAGTAGGTTCAGCAAGACACCAAAGCACCACATAGATAGTTTCATATTGAAAGAAATTTTGGAAGCAACAGGTTTGCAAGAAATACATAGATTATCATTCAACCAAGTGACACCTAAGAGGTTCGGATTAAGCTAAGTATGCATCTTAGGTTCATACTAATAAATATTTAGACATTGTGATAAACACTGGAAGAGGCAAGATATCAAATGAACAAAAACATACTGGAAAACATATTAGCATGGAAGCAAGATCATAGTTGAGGCAATATGGAATGTTTATCTTAAAATCCTAAGTGATGCTAGGGATGAGGATAGAAAGGAAAACATGTTTAGAGTAAACCTCAAAGCAGTGTGCCATATAGTTGTGGCCAGTACACAAGAAATAGTCAATCAGGCACAAGACTCAGCACTAAATGATTCATTCAAAGTAAAGAGAGGTTTCCATAGAGTTGTAGTAGTATCCAAAGCAAGGTATGAAGAACTTCTATAACTAACAACATATAGTCACAACAGTCAGATTCAGATAAAAATAGGCATGCATTGAAACTCAAAACTGAAACATATTCAGATGCTAGAGGTACAGAACTCATTCCACAAGAAAATAAAGAACCAACATAGAAGTGCAGACCACAGTGAAGAACACATACCAGCCTAACACAAACTAAGGACAAAGAAGTAAACTATCTCATGCATTCAACTATCATAGGATGAAAAAAGAGTATTGAGCATTATCATAACAGTGCAATATTAGAGATTCACAACTAAATCATACTTATATAGTGCAAACACATATAGACACACAGAAGGAAAGAAAGAATATTAACATTGCAAGGGTTAAAAGCACTAACCAATAGCAAAATTATACAAGCAAAAGAATAGTAAAGAGCTTAATATCAAGAACCCCATATCTCCAATGCTTCAGAGTTCACAAGATCCTCGAGAAGGGCTCCGAGCAGTGCATGCACCGGAGGAGGTCATTTAATGGCCTTGGCTTTCAGCCGGTCTCCCCAAGGGGTTTTAGGGGAGGGGTTTATATAGTAGCAGATTTAACACATAGAATACGGAAATATGGTAAATTAAACATAGAATAAGGAAAATATGGCATGCCAGAATCAATTAGAGTCAATTTTGGGCAAATAATACATAGAATAGGAAGTTTGATAAATTAAACAGAGAATAAGGAAAAATAACATGTAAATAACACTTAAAATAAGGGAATACAATAGATTGAACAGAGAATAAGGAAAATATCGGTCAAACACGAGAAAGGGAAGAGTATCAGTCGAAAATCAGTAAAGAAAAAAAAAAGAAAGTCTCAAACCCTAGTTGAGACTGACGACTTGAATCGATCCAATAATGCAAGAATTGTTCAATATAACATGTATATAGACGAAAGATCG